ATGTAAGTCTAATATTTGTTTTCTTATACTAAAGGATGTAGCTACATTATAAAGTAGTACACGATATTATAAAATATGGCTATAACATTTTTTTTTTAAATCAGTATTTGAAAAATGTGACAACCAGCCTCGGTTTCCCCTATACACTATATGTAATGACCCCTACAAAGTCATGCAAATTTCGTATATAACAATTTTTCGTACAACTTATAATTTTCTGTTACATCTAATTGTGCGTAGTCAAATATATAGTCGAAATATATGATTTTTTGATTTTTCGCAAAAATTAATAGAAAATATCAGTATTTATAGTAGTTTTAATATTTATATAAATCTAAAAAACATGATAAAAACAAGTGAGAATATTAATTACCGAAAGTGTAAATTGGTTATCCAAATTAAACAAGCCACAAACTTTGATGCGCAACGGATGCGCCCATAGAAATACTCCCAATTCGGTTGTTTCCTAAAAGTAAAGAACATCGCAAAATATTGTCTTTGTAATTTTTCCATAATTAAAATATAAAAATGTCAATCATTTTTTATGTAGCTATTAAAAATAAGTTAATAAAAAAAATGAGTAAAGTTAAACTTTTGCAAATTTTAAACTTTACGAATTAAAATAAATAAGAATTGATCTTTATTCCATTTTGAGGTTTATATTTTAATAAAAATTTCAAACTATTTCTTCAAAATGTTTTATACATTTAATATAGAATTAAAAGATATTCGTAATAAGTAATGTTCAATAAAATTTTACGGAAAAGCCGTGACGGAAAAGTAATTTCGAATGTTTAAGGACGTTCTCTCGTCCTTATACTAGAGAAAATCGATTTTCTTAGGATTTTCTTGAAACTGTGAATATACGTTAATTTAGGTGTGCTTTATGCGTGGTATAAATTTCAGTACCTCTTCCGGTATAAAAAAAAAGATACCGAGTCTCAAAGTTACAAAAAAAATTTTTTAATTTAATTTTTTTAGTTTTGGCATTTTTTCCTTATAGAACTCGACGAGAAAAGCAACTTTGGTCCTCTTGGCCAACCTCGTATCTCTTACCGTTTGGCCTGGAAAACCTTTTCATTAGTAAAAGTTGAAACTTTGAGGCTCAGTATCTTGATTTTTTATACCGGAAGAGATACTGAAATGTATACCACGCATAAAGCACACCTAAATTAACGTATATTCACAGTTTCAAGAAAATCCTAAGAAAATCGATTTTCTCTAGTATAAGAACGAGAGAACGTCCTTAATGCATGTCTGTATACAATTAGATTGATTATAGCAGTACCATGTATATATACAAATTAGCCCATTTTAATCTATAAATCAAAATATCTTGAAAATAAATTTGAGTTAATAAAATTGAACACATAAGTGTTGAAGAAGTTCAAAGGGATCGTCAAACTATCGCAAAAAAATCGATAGGTGGAAGAACCTTGGAGATTACAAGATCATCTCTGTTTTTTGTTTTTTAAATTGAATCTAGTTCTTCTTTTACTGTATGATGAAAGAGAAAGCGAGATTCATTTATACCATATGTTTAACGTTTTATTAACAAATTTTTATAAATAAAATCAATTCTCGGATTTTAAATTAAATTTCAAGGAGTCCTATTTGTTCCATTACGCTATCTTTATTGCTTATGACTAGTTCTCTTTCATAACACGATAGTTTTGTGTAATGGCCACTCAGATCGTTATGATTAAAATCTCTTTGAAGTTTTTATGTATACACAAGTGTTTACAAAAATAGAGAAGCTATTACAACATATTCTTAAAACCAAATCAAGTCAAAAAGTCCTATATCACTTTTCCCTCCGACAACAATTTTATCGATCAGATAAGTTAAGTATCGAAAAAGTTACCAAATTTTTCTTAAATGTCACAAAAAATATTAGTCAAATAAAAAAATGTATTACACAAAAGTTGTTCAAATTAATTAATAAAAAAAGATGATAAAAAAACATGGGAATTTCTATTTAAAAAATTAAAAGTAATGCCTACACCCAAAATTAAATGAATATTACTCTACGTTATGTGTCCTTCAACTATAATCTAAGATATTTATTGGTGAGATGCATACTTTCAAAGAGATAACAGCTTGTAACGCTTTAAAGGCCTCACCCTGTACATGCGGAGTGGAGTATTTAAACTATTTGGGATACGTTCCATTTAGCGCTAGCAACACTCTTAGAATTATTTCATCCTTGTTGTTTAGCAAATGTTAAACAAGGACGGATGATGCTCATGCACAAGCGTCACGAGCACCAAATGAAACCTACTCTTAAAATGTTACAAGCTATTTATCTCTGAAAGTACGTCATAGCACAAATGTTTTACACAAAAGTTGTACCTATTGTCTGAAGAGAGACAAATAATGGTAAAATCAATTTTCGAAAAATCAATTTTTTAAGATAACATAATTAAATATATATCGTTGCCACAATACGCACGCATGCGCGTACGCGCGCACATGTACAATATATGTATACCGTATATTTTAGTAGTGCGTTACATACAAATTTTACTCACAGTCGAAAAGTTACTATGTTTGAATGCGGAAGTTTCGGCCGAGAATATTATACTTGCCAATACGTTCGCCTATAACAATTGTACGCAGCATTAAAAAGGTTATTACACCAATTTCGCTTATATTTGTAATATGTATACTAATACCTGATTGCATGTCAAATGACAGATGCGACTTATAGCAATAATTTGAAGTGATGAAATTAGTATCACATACGGGATATAAAGTAACAGCATGTTGTTAAGTATATCTTTTCCATTAAAAACAGTGCTGAAGACATTAGTTGTAATGTCCATTAACATACACGTGATCCAAATAAGCAACTGTGGGTTGTAATAAAAAGTGAGATGATTTGTTGCATCGTGAAGGTAACGATGTAACCGCTGGAGATTCACGATGGCAAGCCTGTCGGCAAATAATCTGATATTGATGCCAACAGTCATCCCTATGTACATAAAACCTTTTATTAAGATTATTTATTATATACCATAAACAT